TGACATAACTGTTGTTCAGAAAGAACTCTCGGCGACATTGTTGATGTTTATGATCTTACGAAAGGTGTATGAGTTCGATTCACTACATTCCGCTATGTTAACTAGTGCTAAAATAAATGACTTGTCTACTGATCTACGAAAGTATATAGAATGCGCATGATACTAAGAACAATTATTTGCTCCCTTTTGGTATAAAAAGGGTTCAGTAATCGACTTACAATCAACGAAAATGAGCAACAAACTCAACTCTAGGAATCCTGTCTGCAATTTCATTAATATAAACAAGTTCGGCTTCGTAATAGTTCAAGTTGTATATTTTTTCAAACTTAATAGGTAAAGTCTTGCAGTTAAAAGTGATTACACATCCGGCTAAAGCAAGAAAGAACAACCGTTTCTTGAGAATTTACAAATACATTCATGGTAAGGCAAAAGAAAGCTATAACTCCTTGACATTTTCAGTATTTGTCACCACCTGCCCCTCCTTGCAGCTCAAAGGAAACATTTGAAACATTAACAAAAATTATCACTTGTGAAACAATGGTGCCGACAGGAGTTTTGTTTAGGAAATTTGGGAAATCACGGCAGCATATGGAAAAAATCTGTAAGGCAACGTTGTCTTGTAACAACAATTCAATAAGAATTCTTACGAGCGTTAAATGTGATTTTTTCGTGACCCAATGCCATGTTGAGATCTGATATTTGTTGTTTTGTTTTCTTTTTTTCTGCAGGTTCAATCTAACTTTCAGTCAATCGCGTTTATAATCATAACTTCTGAGCCCGTGTCGCTTAAATCCTGACTAACGGTAAGGGAACTGAGAGAGAAAGCGTTTTGCAGTGTTGGCAGCTCTTTCATTGTTTCAGCTACATTGCGGAGTCTTTTGATCAAATGGCGTTTGGTGCAGTCATATCAATTAATGGCCGCTGTGTTGCACTCTCAGTGTCGTGATCTTAAGCCTCTGTTAAATAAAATCCGAGCATAGTGCAACCATTCAATTCAATCAAAGCTGATTCATGTAACAGAGATGTCTTTGTGCTGACAATGAAATATAACTAAATTCAGTTTATACTTTTGTGAAGTATTTTCAATCAATTTGCAACCTTTCCGTATGACGTTTCTGGGAATTTTTACATTCAGAAAGGTTAATAGTTTTATTACGAAAATCCTAGTACTACAAATATTGGAATAATTCATTATGACTTCGGTTTACTGTACGACATTGTTTGTAAGTTTTTTTTTATCAGTAAGCGAAAACAATATCTGGTCAACTTTGTGCTACTGTTGCAATAAAATATTTTAGTGAAATGAAGTGATGCCGACTTAATTTATTTTATTTAGCTTTTGTCGGATACCAAGACAGCTTGTATACATTAATTTAAGTAGTTTTGGTAACTGGGTTACAGACCACGACTAAGTACCGCGCTCCATAACCTCAGCTGCATCCAAAAATTATAGTTTTTCTTTGTGCTCTGGCTAACACTGAAGAGCTCCTATGCAGGGTCATCAGTTTGTTGGTGATTTGGCAGATAGTGAATCCCTTAGCCTTTGATTAAATTTCTCTCTTGTAATGGGGCCATCATGTGTAAATAAACTGTTCTAAGCATTACTCTCCTCTGTTACTGTATTAATCCTCAAAAAAGAACTATTTGATCAATGTTTGATATCATAAATTGTGACTAAGTGTTAATGGTATTCCTTTCTCATAGCTTGATTGCGCCACGCAACTGTAATTGTAACTTTTTGCTGAATGCGATTTTACTTTTCTTTACGACTCTTTACATGAATTCAAAGGAGTCAGTGTCTTCCAATCCAGTTTAATGAAGTGCATTTTTCATAACCAGAAAACACAGGAAGAGAATGCAATATAATGAACCAGAATAATAGCATGAGCAGTCTAGTACATGTTTGTAAATGGTCTAAATGATCTATAATTGTTAGTTGTGCAAAAATAAAAATTCCCAAACAGTTAATAAAAATAAATCAGAACATATGAAACATATGAAAGAGCATTCTGTCTCAATAAATTTGTCTTTCGGGCGTTTTATCATATATAGATAATGTGAAGAATATCTATTGGGGATTATATTTTCATCAGCAAGGTAGTATTTTCTGATACATGGTATTTTTTTTTTCGCCAGTAAGGGATGAACTTCCCTTTAAACCCTATGTGGCGTGTCGCCCTTATTGTTTAAACTGAATGAAAATCTGGAAGTAGACAAATAGACGCGCGCAAGTCCATTTTCAAAAGCTTTTAGCAAACCTAAAAGTGAATTCCTTTACTAAGCCGATACCACTGGACGGGGGCGTGTTCACTGATTTGCGGCAGTAAAATTATTCCGCAGAAAGACCGGCCGAAGCTGTTAACTGTTTCCCGGCCAAGCGAAAATCATCCTACATTTGTTATCTGTTGTTCCTGCATTTTCGGTTATCCGCGGAAGGATGCTTTTAAAGTAGTTTTCACATCATTCAGGTGCTTTGTAATCTTCCTTCAGCGTTCTTTGAATGTGTGAGTTCTGGAAATTATACGTATAAGGAAGCTGACAATATATTGAGGAAAAAGGAATCGTAAGCATTTCAAACGTTTTCGAATTCTTGTCTGCTAAACGTATAGGCATGAACAACAACTTAAAACCCATAATTTCACATGTACATATCGATAAAGTTAATGAATTTTATCACGAAAAAGAAATAGAGGAGATTGATTTTACACTGAAACACTTCAATCACTTGTTCCCATACTTTTATGATAAAGGTTCATTCTGTGCTATTTATCGGGGAAAAAAATTCATGTTTTATATCACTGTGCCGATCTAGCCTTAGTTTCCAGTGAATTAGCTTTGAATGTGACTTATTGCTCAAAACGACAAAGCTAATTTGATCAAATTCATTGCTTGTCGCTCCGAACCAAAAGCCTGACATGATTCAAAGCAAGAGAGAATGATCTCTCTTGTTCAAAATCGTTGACCTAAAGGTGAAAATTTTGCCAGTTTTCCCCTTTATTCCGTATTGAAAAAAACACGTAATTAGGCGTTTTGATAATAATTACCTTAACTGCCTCCAAATTTGCCTTTCATTCTTTTTAGGCACAATAAATATTCCATACTTCTGCGCTTATTGTCCGCTCATGAAGTAATTTCCTCTTCAAACAAAACCAAAGCAGGGGGAGCAAATGATCTTACTAATAACTCCGTAAACACAAAGTGATTCATTTTATTTTGTCCGATCTACTTTTGCAGACAAAAACTTGACTCATTCTTCTAAAATCCAAGCAAGTGAGCCTTCCATCTTTGGTTTCTGGTACACAAACCCTTTGGGGCCCTGTTCGTTCGCTCTCTCTCTATTGTAACTCAGCTCAAAGTCGGTTCCTCAACTTACGATGGTCGTCTTTAAAAATATACTTTTCAAACTTTGATAAAATAGTAGGCCTGGTTTTTAGAAACAGAACAAATTCAAGGTTTTTTTCGTGCTGATTTATTCTCGTAACTGGTGAACAGCTGGTTTTTAATTGGGGAGAGCTAAACGCGTCAATAGGCCGGAAAAGCGATCTGAAAAGCGAGAATATACAAACGCGCCAAATCAGCTAATAATGTTCATTGAAAAAGCTAAAACTCCCGGCTCAAAATCATGAATTTGCGAACGCGAATAACATACATGCAGGCTAATCTGTTTGTGATCTGCGTTTGTCTTGTTCCTCAGATTTTACGAGAAAACATTTTTAGTGTTAAGTTACACAAAGCTTGAGATACCTAATTGCTTAAAAGTATATCTTGATTAAAGTTATTTTGAATTTGGATTACCAGCAGTGAATAGGGAATGTGACAAGGGTTATCTCTGCTCCTCGTAAAATGCTTCGACCACACACGCAATATATTTTTCACACTACCGCAAACAACCTATGCTTTGCGATCTTCATTTCTGACCAAACCGCACGAGGATGAATCTATTTCGATCATGGTGTTTTCTAGGTCTTAGTTTCGAAAACGTGCAAAAAGAATAAACATTAGATATTACAGAGCAATTTACAACAGAGGTGATGTGTTTAATAGTCTTTTAGATCCATTGTTGTGGAAACTGGGAGGGGAAAGCGAGGAATTGATAACTCATTCATGATCGATTACAAAAGAGCAGAAACCTCCTTCAATTAGAGAGAAAGCGACCTCCTAGAAAATACTAGACACCAATTGCTTTTCGCAATCCCACTCTAAAACACTCTTTGTGCCTTTTGCAAACAGAACTGGGCCTGGTAATTATTATATCACATCTGATTTCACACCTTTCCTTTGAACAGGAAAGCTTTTAGAATCAAGACCAATCGGATAGTCGTTGCTTGGGAAAACAATTCTCTTGGTGTTTTTAAAGGCAACGCAGAAAAAGCGTACAGTGTAAGCGTTTCGCTTTCGCTTTGGGCGAGGAGTGAAATCATTTGATTGAGCTTATAGATTTGGTCAACTTTATCTTTGCTGCGAGCGCCCCTTGTCGCCATAATATAAACAAATGATTTTACATCCAGTGACACAGTAGCAATTAAGGATGGTTAATAGTCCTTCAGACCAGTGTGTTTGGCAACTTCCCACTTCTTCCATCTATAACAGTTCACCGAAAACAAAAAGCTATCTATAGGACTATTCCACAGAGGTGGTTGCTCAAAGGGTTCTGTGCATTAATGAAAAAGGGGAAAATTTGTTTGGAAGCGAACATCCTGTCTATAGAGCAATTAAAACAGTAATAATGAGAATGAAAACGCAATTCGCTAAAAGACTGTGTCAATCTTATCAAAGGAAATGTCAGAGATTAAACCAAGCAATTATCTTGTGTTACAAAACTCTTCAAATTGCCTTCCAAACTATCCCAGCTATATCTCTCGCTTGGGTGAAATAAACTATGTTTCTTCCTAAATAAAGCGCTGTTGTTGTTTGAGACCTTTACCATGACATTTTCACTTGTTAATACTTGTGTTCTTGCGGGCTATTTAGAAAAAGAGAACGCATTTACGGAGACTGACTGACGCTTGAGTAAGTTTATTCTTGGTAAAAATGACTAATTGGAAATCAAAGCTATTACATAGTATTCTGTTTATTGTTAGCCTCTTTGTACAGTATTTCTCTTTTTCTTTACAACTAAATTATCTAAAAGAAAAAGAAACGTCAGATTTTTGAGTTCAAATCTCATTATATACAAAACAGGAATTTTCTATTTCCTTCTGATCTTCTTTGCTGAATGGCCCTTAAGTTGGCTTAATCACTTTACTCTAATGCGTGATTCAATAGCACATCACTGTATGTTAGCTGACGAATTTACACTGACTACTTTAGCAACCGAAGAAGAACACAGAAGCTTAGTTCTATAAAATGTTCTTTTGTCCGAAGACTTTGGGCAATTAATGTTCAGTGACGATACCAAGCCACACCACGAACGGATACTTTGAATTGCCAGCCGAACTAAACTATTAGAAAACCATCAAACTCAAACACTCGGCGACCAGCGCGAGTAAATTCTCAAAGTTTTGCCTGCTGAAAAAGTTAATAATTTCTTGTTTTTTAAACGCTGTAAAACCAGCGCCAAACAACTCTTCAACTGCGTTAATTTCAAAACATTCGGCTGATTTTTACGTTTGCATTTCCACCTCTGGCTTGAAGTCGTGATGCGTCAATGTACGTACGATTGCTCCTCGAAACTCACGAAGAATTCTTTTCTGCCAACTTTGATTCCTCCGATTCTAATCTTTCCGATTTCTCGCCTTGTGATTCCTGTTTAAAGCGCCTCCATTTCGCTCTGCGGTTTTGAAACCATGTCTTCACTTGACGCTCCGTTAACCCGAGCACCTTGGACAATTGCTTGCGCTCTGGGGGTGATAAATACTTTTGACTTTCAAAAATCTTTTCTAGCTCTAAAGTTTGCTCGTTGGAGAATCGCACTTGGCCGCCTTTCTTCTTCTGAGGCTTCGGTAAAAACAGATTCCAGGCACCTATGAGAAAAGAACGTGCGGAAATGATTACGGATTGCAGTAATTTCTGCGGGCTGAAGTTGAGGTCCGAGTAAGGTGCTAATACTACTAGCCATTTCCGCTAAGTTCTACTCCCCAAAATTTGCCAACTGTTGAGGCTGAAATGATCTATTTAGAGAGGAATGCTGAATACTAATTCAACTAGACGATGATACTTTTTGTGTTTGGACGAACATACGACCTACAGGAAGTTTATCAGATGATAGAGTTCAGTCATAAGATGTCATCTGCCAGGTATGGTGAAACAACGGCTGCTATATATCGCTGAATTGAGTAAACTGTGAAATGGCACTTGGATAGTCAGGCAATTTAGCAGCCAGAACTGAGCTGAACTCTGGTTAATGACCTAAATCTCTTATCACTTACTTCACAGCCGAAGGAAAGTGCTGTGTGGTTAAACTAGAAAGCAGAGAGACTGAACAGTTTACGCTAATCCTTTCCTACTGAGAACGCCACAGATGAGAACACATGAAGGAATCGAGGTTATTGATGGGGCACAAAATACAACTCAATTGCGTTAATCGATAGTGATATCTCGCCGAACGCAACAAATCACTTCACTGATGCCAGTGACCCCACAGCATTTTACACTTTGGTCTAGTTATCGGTGTTCAGTATTACTTACTATGATCGTTGTAAGCTTCGTACACACTCGGAATACTCGGCGCGTGGAAACCAAAGCTCCTTGGGGAATGGTAAGGCGTGAATGGGCTACTCAGATTAGTGTAAGTTCGCGGTGGAGGTAGATGAAAAGCTGGTGAAAGGCAAGGTGGTTTTGGTACCTCGCACATGGTTGAAGTGCAGATGGATGGCTGAGTTCTCTGAGCTGATCCCGAGCCTAGAATATCGTCAATATAAAACGACGACGAGTTATACGAAGGGAAGACATTGAGGCTTCTGTTCCACTCGCAGTGCTGCATATTTAACTATGGCTTCGGTGTTACTATGTGGACGGTCTTCTTACGAACTCTTTACGATACAGATTGTTGCGGCTGTCTCCTCTTGACTGGCTCGTGCGCTTCTGCTATATATCCTCGACTGTCTCGTCTCCAGCTCGCGTCCAAACTGAAACAACTGTGCTATGTTGAAATTAGCAACTAATGACCGCAATTTAGATACGGCGCTATGATTGGCTCTTTGTCAAATTAATAGATGCTCCATTTGATAAGTAAGCGAGTGACAAAGGCAAGAAATTGGCGCGTTTGGTTTGGCTGTCAGAGTAGTCGACAGCTCTGGTTTCCGCACAGGTAATACTCGATAACAAAAAACATATATACCCCAGGTTTACAAAGAGCTCTACTTAATGGAGTTTAAAACCCGAAGATCTGCCTCTGACACGAGTCAAGACAAAAGAAATCGAGGAGTGAGCTTTTGTTAGCTCGGGTGAATGGTGAATTGATGGGTGTTTGGTCGCAATTTGATTAGTTAGTTTACAAGGTTTACAAGAGCGAGCTTGATAATGGACAACCTAACACCCTACGGCGCCCTGTGGACTTGGCTTGACAATAGAGGGTGTTATCAATTAGTGATAATTAATTAACAGACATTTTACAACATTCCACGCTTTTTATTTTTGTAATCAACATTCATAAAATTACTTTGTTCGTGTAGGGAGGAGACACCAATCTAGGAGACAGGTGCTGATCATCAAATTCTAATTTCGTACCCAAATATTTTGAAATTTTGGTTCCAACTCGACGGGAGGGAAAGACGTAACTTTTTCATGACAATTTCCCCTGAATTAACCGGTTCGTATCGTAAAACGAGAATAATCTATCAGGACGCTGATAAGTCAATGTAAGAGATGTGATCGGGTACATGATACGCGCAATCCAGTGGTAATTCGGTGTAGGCCACGATCTGAGGTTACTCGCGCGCTCGAACTTCGAATTGCTTGGTGATGAAAGAAGAAAAACACATTCGCACGCGCTCGATGAGGGAGCGAACGTATTTTTTTCACTTTACGTATGCGACCTTAAACGTCCTATTCGAAGCTTACTAGTGAAAAAAATAAAGCAAACATTCCCACTGGAAACTTGCAGGACAAAAAGTCGCACAAACAAATGTGCTCTGTGAGTTTTTTTTAAAATGATAATTACCCAACAAAAATAAGCCATCGAAAAAGGATCACACATTAGTGCTAAAAGTTACACCCTTTCAAAAGTCATTTATAGCTTTCAATGCCCCCTAAACGCACGCTTGAAATTACAGTTGAAACACAATAAGCCTATTAAGGGGGTGCCTTCAAACCCAGGTGTTTTACGGCTATTATCTGTGTCAGTGAAGTCCTTGTTTTAACGTGCTTGTTGAAAAGAGAAAGATACTATGGTAAAAGTCTTATCTATCTCGTGGCTTTATCATTTCATAGGTGCCTTCAATACAAGCGGTTCTAATGTTTTTTTTCATGCTTTAGTTGAGAATAAAAGAATCAAATGAGGGAAGTAAAATTATAGGAAGCAACTTATAAAGAGCAATTAATTTGACGCGCATTGGTTTCCGAGTTTTCTATTGTGTGATACATCGTAGCGAGAATGTACGTACTTCGTGGTAAAGCCGAAGGGACCTGCTTCAAAACACGAACAGAACAGTTTCCACGGGCAAGCCTGTCTCCTTAACACGAGGTTAGATGAAAAGTCTGATAACTCTGCCCATTAAAAATGACAATTTCATGATTCTCAAGAACCTGCGTATCTTATTTCAAAACTTGAGCAAACAACCAATCTGTGCCTCTTGTACAAGGACCACCTGCCAATGTGACGTCACTAACGCGCTTTAGCCTCGCCTTGCAAAACGAGACGCAAAGATATCATTAAAGAAAGGATTTGCGTTCTGTATTTTAATTGTAGCAAGTCTATACTTTGTCATCTTACCATTGCGGTCCGATCCTCTTGTCCTCTTGAACTTTTAATCGTTTTATATTCTTTCTTAAGCTGTAGATATTTTGGACAGTGGTTGTACCTCTGAGCATTACGAGTCTTCTGTCTAAACTCCCCACAATTAGCTTGTAAATTTATTCAATGCGGGCAGCAATTTACTTAAGGGTTCTTTGGAAAAAAGATATCTTTTTGTCGATAGAAAATTCAATTTCATGTCGAGGAATGTAGTCCTTTTTTGTTTCGGTCTTAAGCAGTTGAGTGAATTTTTTCGTGCAATGTGATTCCAACTCACACATTTATCGACTTCATCTTCAATTATCTTTTCGTATGCGTCATTGCCTCGGTCAATTTAATAATTTTATAAATCGTTTCATTTTGATGGGCGGAATAGTTATTCATGGAATGAGCTATTAGCGTTCGGACATAGCAATTTATAACACTTTAAGACTCTCTTCGAAAAGGAATGTTTGATTTATCACAGAAAACAACGCATAATATTTTGAGTACACTTTGTTTTTAAAACTGAAAGGAATGCATCGCTGAATGATATGGTAGATTTTTCAACGCAAATGGATTCTTACATTCTAAACCGTGTTACTGTAAAAAATATGGGTGCAGTTCGGCTGTTGTTGAAGGTTATTTCCCGAAGCGGTATATAAAACCATCCACTTAGAAGAGTAACCCACAGTGTGGTGTGATACGTGTAATTATCAACTGACCCCTCATTCAATAATTTTACAATAAACAGAGATGTATGTTCAATGCAGAGTACGGTAGGAAACACGAAGAAAGTTCAAATTGGATTAGGCTAGTTGAATAAAGTGGTATATACACCTATCGACTGCCCTTTGAATCATTTTACTGACAAATTGGATGATGTTTGCGGGCAAAGAAGATAGCGTGGCAGTTCGACTGCAATATGGGGCTTAACCGTAGGTTTTTCAGTACTGTTCAGGGAGAAATTACTTTCGTTTTCGCTAATTCAGTTTGCTTTGCTTTTCTCAATCATTCTTGAATATCATGGACGGAGCGCGATGGCAAAGAACTCAGTTACATTGAGCTTTAGCCTATCCAGACCTTCTTCTTTACTTCCTGACGTTCAGATTATCGAGAAAACGGAAGAAAGCGCAAGTTTGCTCAGTGAGACCGAGAAAAACATCGGAAAGAATCCCTTCCTTTGCATCTCTTCACTCTGCTCTCCATCTCGCTAAGTTTTCCACTTTTCCCGAAGTTATTCGAATATAATCCGGTCTGACCCCGTAAGGGGATAAAACAAGATGATATGGCTGGCAAAACGTTTAATCTGAAAAAGCGTCTAATTCAAGCTCAGGCGAGTAGGAACTAGTCAAATCACGTATCTTACGGCTTGTGATTAATCGGTACGTAGTTGAAAAGACACAAGTGATCTCTCTTTTCGATGCTAAGTACAAAGATCTAGATCATGCAGTAAGTCGTGGCCATATCGCGTAATCTCAGTTTCGGTCACAGAACGAGCGTTCTCTTGATATATTATGTTACTGATAAGGCATTTGTTGGTCTATTTATCTCTCGTCTCCGCCTGTGGAATATCATCACGAACTTTCTCTAGCCAGGTCAAGTGCTATCGCTCTACATATCGTCGCACAACTAACTAGTGTATCAATTTTCCCCGCAAGAGAAGCAGTTTTCGTCCTGTGTGGTTTGATTGAATAAAACCCTCAACTGGCGATAACCTGCCTTAAAAATGCTTTTGTAGCAGCTGCCTTCCTCCTCGCGTTAAGTTGTTGCAAATAACAAGAAAAAACTCGAACAATCATTATTCAATTAGCAGCTTACGTAATAGTCAAGTTAAGCTCTGTTAAGGTCAAAAAGCCGCTTAAAGAAATTTCCCGGTTTTACATCGGCTGTATTTGGAAACCTTTTTTGCCTGTAAACATAATGGACTTATGTGATATAGGCTTAGCAAAAAGGTTACAGAATAAACTACTATTTGGAATCAGTCCCACTGTTTGGCTTCTTGCTACCAAAACCGCGGCGCTTTTTCTTTCATTTAGTGTTTGAGTCTGTTTGCTGATATCGCCTGCCATCAGGCAAAAATGTCCACGATAAAATATCCATCAGTTTTACCTCTATTCTCATAACCCTTCTGAATGCTCGTAAGTGTTCTGTGATTTATAACTTGTTCTGTTTGTTTTCATTACGTGATCGATCTCACATTTTTTTGTGACTCAATGGCAACAAACATAGAACGCGTTAAAAGGAGAGAATCCGCCCTGCCAGTATTGTTTATTCTTTTTTCTCGTCCGAACAAATCGTTATTGATCAGCAGCGCAATAATAACATTTCTTTAAGATTCTTTTTATCCTCTTTCCGGCTAATGGGTAGATCGGTTGGTATAGAAGTGAATATCTATCGTCAGGGGCCCATGGCTTATCGTGAAGCATGATCTGAAAAGCTAAATTTCTTCTTTTTTGTCAATCCAGTTGGGGGTTATTTCTACCGTCCATTCCTAGAAAATGATTTTATGGCCTCTGCGATAGTTTCTGAAATTCCTGTCAGCTGGATAAGGAACCGTTCCATTTAAAGCTGCCAGGTTCTCGCCTTAACTTGATGGACTTTTAATAGCGATAAAGTAAGCGATAACAAAGTCATTCTAAAAATGCACAAATTGTTTACAGCAATCCACTTCTTACGATAAACAGAGCAAAACGCGCAGTTTGTTTCAAGATTTTAACAGAGATAAAAATGTTATTAAGCCGGAGACAACTTTTATGTTTCAAAATACAAATGCGAAAGTGAATGAAGGCCAAGAAAGTCTTACCAGTTCGCTTTATTTTGTCGAAAATCTATTTCTCATGGGGAGTTTTTTAGGTTAAGATTTTCGTGTAACCACAAATAGGTGACAGCTTCCGTAATACTTTTTGGAGCACTGGAGTTTATCAGCTTTCGAAGCTTGTTAATAATTCCAAAATTGAGGTTGTTGGTAAGTCACCACTCTACTTACAATTGCTCATTCAAAACTCATTTAGCCCCTTACGAGAATTACTTCGCTCAGTTGAACGAAACTGCGTAAAGACAGTTGCTTTGTGTTTTCAGGCAAAATTCCAGATAGAAGCATATTTTTTTGTAGTTCGTGATGTTTCCGGCCATGACAAATAGTAGACAAACATCTGAAGAGTTTGTCTAGCTCATATAAGCTGATAAGAGGACCTTCGCTTTGGGCACGTTATTTCTCGCGCACAATGAATTCCCACTCGTCTGTTATGGCCTGTCTAGTTAACACGTTCATAATAATGAAACCTTTTCTAGTTTATCTTACATCCAAAATTAAAACTTTGCCAAGTTTGTTTTATTAAAAACACCTGTCTAGCGTTGTTGCTCTCTAAAGCAGTTTAATATGTGCCGTCAGGTGAGCTCATATTCTACCCCTTGTAAGGGTAAGCCTTACAAATCGACAAGTTTTGACGGAAGGTGCTAAGAAGAGCAGTATTAGTGATTCTTAGAGTTATCAAGCTTAGTATTTGTAGGTTATTGAGCCCAAATACATTACATGACAATTTGTATATTTTGGCACCTCTTAGCCGGATCGAGGCGAAGTGGAAAAATAAGGCCACACCCCTTAAATTGAAACTTTGGAGGTTACTGAATAGGAACTTATTGGCAAGGATTTGGCCAGGGTCCCTTTTAGTCCTCGTTTTTTATTTAGCCACCTGTGGGGTTTTGAAAAAAAAAAAGGATCAAATTAAAAAAAAGACAAAAAAACGTTTCACTTCGTATCATCGCTGGTCTGTCCACCCATAAGTATCCGGTGCCCCGGTGAATTGTTTTCACGAATCTGTTATTTTCTTCCCACCGCTGCCTGACTTGTGTACAATTTTAAAGAGTCAAATAATTACCAGAAAATCAGCCAAAGCATTTTACAGTTTTAATTAATTATATATAATCACAGTTCTATCTTTTATTAAAAAAACAACTACATTAATACTAGTGTCTCGACTCTGTTTCGACCACTGAAGGGCAACGTGCGCTTCGACCTTCGACTTTCGACTTTCATGTGATGGCCTGGCTCATGTTCTAAAACCAGTGACCCCAAGCCCCTTTTGCACTTATTTTTCCAGCACACGCCCCTTGATAAAACCTAGAGCGAGCCCTACAACATGAACCCCTACGATACACTATATTATGAGGGCGCACTGTGCTTCAGTCGCAACTCCATCTCCATTTCCCAATATGAAGACCTCGAACGACGCAAGATGAAGGCGAAGGCAACGAGAAAGTCAAAATAGATAAATTAAATAAATAAATACTGATAGCTAAATAAAATAAATAAATAGACAAAGAAATGAAACAGTTTAGAACAGTTATTCCATGCAATCCACGCAGTTCCCCATAAAATTTATTATTCTAATTAAGTTCCGTTATAGATTTATTCTGATAGTGTTAGCTTTTCTGCTATGAATTGTAATTGTAATTGAAACCTCGATGTTAACGGAGACAGCTTACCGGGCCCGTTAATTATCGGGACTTTCAAGAAACGGGCCCCCGGTAACTTTTTGGGCCCGATATATATCAAATATTCAAATCGCAATATAAAGAATAAGAGCACGGGTCCTGGCTAGCAAACTACTCCATTTTGTTTCATTAACTAATAGTTGTATCATGTTAGATGAAAAACTTTTGAAAGTAAACGGAGACAGCTTACCGGGCTCGTTAATTATCGGGACTTTCGAGAAACGGGCCCCTGGGAACGAGGGTGCGATTGGACACGAGTGGCTCTGGGAACTCTGGGGACGAGAATGCCGATGGCTGAGTAGAATTGTGGGTAGTAAACTGGCCAAAAAAAGGTGGTCAGCGGTTATTCTAAACAAGTACGAAGTCAAAATGGCGATCTTGCCTGTGTGGTTGATATTTTTGGTTTGTTATCTCTCATTTATCGTGATTTTTATGGTTATTCCTGCGTCATTGGGGTTTTCCTTTGGAATTCGTAGCCTTTACCTAGCTACTCTATATAAAGTTTTTGAGGTAAGCTTCAGAAAATTGTTTAATTGAAATGTGAACGTGAGCTTCATGAACTCGCAGATGATCTTTGCTCTGACCATCCTGTGCATGTACTCTTTGTATCAAGACGTGTTTCGTTCATCACTAAATTATTTGATCCCCGAAATCTCGCCCCAGTTTTAAACAGTAAATGTCCAAGTTTCTGTTGATTAAATGTAAATTAATTATTGATGGATGCGGCGCTCCTTTTGTCTTCTCGTGAATTGAATGCTGTCCACATACCGGCAGTATTTTTTGTATTAGATACAAAACAGTACAGTCAAACCTGTATTAAGTGGCACCGTATTAAGCGGTCACCCTCTATTAAGCGATCAGTTTTCAAAGTCCCCGAAATTACTTCTCTTGATGTACTGTAATTTCGACCTCTATTAAGCGGTCACCTTTATCAAGCGGTCGCGGTCACCATTTGCGAAGTCCCAACGAGACTTTCTCTATTGTCTTAACCTGTATTAAACGGTCACACAGTGTTCATACAGTTTCAAATAATGTAACACATGAGGTACAACAATAATTGATTTCCTTGTTTATTTTCACAAATCATTAAAACGCCAGAAGTGAATGTTTCTGTTTGAGGTCAAGCGTCTGTTCTGATCAGCACTGGAGATCTAATTCTTTGAAATGTATATCTTGCAACCTGTATTAGGCGGTCACCCTGTATTAAGGGATCACTTAGCCATTCCCCGAGGGTGACCGCTTAATACATGTTCGACTCTACTTGCCATATTGTTACTTGTTTACAGCTATATACTGGTTTACTGTTCTTTTTCCTCTTAGTTTGGAAGGAAAACTATCCAGTCAAAGCAAGGAATGAAATCAAATGGTAATTAACCTAATTTCAACCACTTACAAATAATTTATACTTAGATAAATGTAAATAATTAGCAATAATTATTTCCCTGCTAAGAGAGACCTCTTTTCCACGTATTCGGCAGGCAGGAGGAAAAGAGACTCATTTCTCTTCTATTTTCTTTTTCTTTTCTCTGCCGCCACGGAAAAGAGGCCTCTGCTATCAGGGAAAGTAGTTATTGGATGAGGCTGAGTATGATCTGAAGAATTTTGGAGGTCGAGGATCATGGTGATAATACCCTCTGAGATCTCCATAATTCTTCAGATTATAAGAAGGCTGAATCCAATAATTGTGTCATTATTTTTATTAAATCCTAGATAAGAAACAGCTAAAACATGCTAACCTCGATATATATGTTAAGTTGCCATCGTCATTTGCCTGTTTCTTGGCAAGTTGAGGAGATTAAGTGATGTTTGGTTCTGCAGAAAATCTCAAATACCAGATGCCGTCTGTCGAGTGGTATTCTTGCTGTTCTTGTGATGTCTTTTAGGTACACTTGTAGTAGTTTAGCTATTTCTTTTTTGCATGAAATGTGTGCAATGTTCCTCCATTTTGTACTGCTCTACGAAAACAATGTAGCCTTGTTCCCAGGGCCACTCGGTTGAAGTCCATTTTTCTGGTATTTAGGTTGTACTAAATTTTTGATGTCATTTTCCACATATCACAAACATCATCCAAATAAATTTTTGTCAATGCTAGCTGGTTTTAATGAATTAGCAGTGAGATTTGAGCCAAAAGGAGAAAATTTTTAATGAATAATAATTACAGTAATTACAGTATAATCAATTTTTTTTTCACTTGTTGTTGGATGAAGAACCCCATATAACCCTTTACACAATATGGCTGAATAGCTAATGTAAGGGGCCAGCAATTGACCATCCTCTTTTTGTATTTTTTCACTTTATAACTGGATGAAGAACATTGCACCCTCTTCTTAACAAGTGTGAATAGCGCTGCGTGCAGTTACTATTGATAGACCCAAAACTCAGACAAAAATTGCAAATTAGTCACTCTGACGTCATTCACACGCTATGCTATTCAAACCTAAACCAAACATGGCTTGCTTGCACAGCGTTTAACCTTTGGTTTTTTATGTACTAACAGTGAGAAAGTCTTTGTACAAATATAATTATGATCTTTTTCTCGGCATGCACTCCTCCCCAATGAACACCTCCTGAAACAAGCAGCAAATTTCATTTCCTGACGTAACATGTTGTTATTATTGTCCTTGAAGATTAATGCTGATTTAAGCTGTCAGGTTTCATTTAAGTTTGGCTTTTTGTTTGTTTGGTGTATGGATGACATGTACAGTTTTATGAGTTATGTTATTAGCTCTTAATAATTATTAGGTAAATCATGTGTTTAAATAAATAAACTTCCCTCCACTTACTACTGCATGTATAACTACTTACTAATGCTAATGTTTCAACATATTAATTTTGTATGATATTTTGTGAGATTGATTGTGTATTAAGATGACATGATGACTTATTGATAAAATATGTTTGAGAGGTGTGATATGTCTTTTTATTGGTGAGTTGTCTTTAATCTTGAAGATGATGTGAACTGCAGAAATGCAAATTTAAATGAAGATATGATCGTCGCAGTGGTAGTTACAATTAATTTTACATAATTGCAAATTAATTCTTAAAAAAAAAATGTTGGGACTTCAATGGGATTCGAACCCATGGCCTTTGTGTTAGCGCTGCAGACTGTGCTGTACCGACTGAGCTATGAAGACCCATACATTGCTCCCAATGTATGGTGGGTCTGCTGCCTTTCATTATCATTTTGTTTTGCTGCATGTACATCAATGTTAAACTGCTAGAAAGGGTTATTTTCGTTTTTCTTGTCTTTTATATTTTTGATGACTCTTGCTTTATAGACTTTTACCCTATTCCTGAGGAGTTCAGACACTGTAATCAAGGTTTCACTGCCCTGGGGTACTGCTGTAATTTAAAAAGTGTTAAAAAGAAACTGCAAATGTTCTATGTTAATTTTTTTTGTTATTTTTAGTCATTGATAAAACGCCAGCAAAACCAACCAAAGGTAACCTTCCCAGGAATAGATCATTTGGAACTTTTCAGCGAGAATTCCATATGGGTGATGCTGTTGAGTTCTGTGTCAATGGAGTTGAGGTAAGAAAATAATGTTATTTGATGGTGATGAGTGTTTGACCTATCTGTTTTAAAAAGCATTGAAATTATCAAGAGAGACTTGACGATGATCACTCCAAGGGTTTAGATGAACAATTTAGAGGGAAAACTATAATTGTATGGGAAATTAGATTGAAGCCATGCACACTTCATCTTAGATACATATGTACATATACATATCTAGCCATTTTTTTAAAAACCAACCTAATGAAATTTGCTGTTATTTGAGTAAAAAGGTGTCAAAGGGCAGGTTTTTGGGCCCGATAAGCTCCAAAATTGCACTAGCAAAGGAAAAGGAACGAAGAAAAAGAAAGAGTGAGGAGGAAGAAAGGAGGAGAAGAGAAAAAAAGCAGTGGTTTTAATGAGTCTCTTAGTTTTTATAATGGCTACTTTGAAAACTGCTGGACACAAAATGTCCATTTGGTGGTAATGTTTTCAAAAACCCAGCTAGATACATATGTATAATTTTATGTACATATAGGAAGGTCTTGCAAGAAGTGGTATTTACCCATAACTGACGTTCAAATGTTGTATAATTAAAGTAGGTTACCAATAGCTGAATAGATTTCCCTGAATTAGACTCTCTGGTTGAATACTTTTCCATTTACTTCAATGATCAAAATGATTTACTATGTACTAAACTCAAAATTCCATTTACCTCCATCTATCCCAGTGTGGGGCAAGGTTTGCAACAAAAGTCAAATACTTAACATGTGTCTCATTTTCCAAGAACATTTTCAATTTGTGAGTAATTTTTTTGCCTCAGTGGATGAGGTATTTTGCCATGGCTAAAATTCTACTATCAAAGCTTTTCCTGCTTTCCATATCACCATAATGCCCGATTAAAGCATTGAATTCTATTTCCTTTAACCATTTTCCCTGTAAAATTTCACTAATTTCTTAATTTTGATGCCAGACCTACAACTATAAAATTTTCCAGTCCACTTCCAGCATTTTTTTAATGCTTATCCTAGCAAAAATAATAAGGATGCAATCATGTAATCCAAAGATGACTGCATCATACATGTGCGGTACCAATCAATCATGTTTCTCATGTTTTCAACTTTGCTTTGTTATTCTTTGATTTTACTGTGTGGTAAAAAAAAAGAATTATTCTTTTCTTTCTAGGCAATCATAGATGATGAAGTAACCAAGTGTTTTTCTGCAGAAGGTCAATAACATTTTATATTTTTATTGGCTGTTAGATTTTCTAGTGCAGTCCTACATGTAGATTTCTGTTTTGTTGTGCTCTCTTTTTTATTTACAGAGGTGACCACAATGTTAGTATCGTAGGAGAAAAATAAAAATAAATATATACTGTGCTACGACTGACAGTAAAAGCTCTTGTGAGTTCCCACTTTGGGAATTCATTAAAATATATTGGTTGCCACGAGAGCTGGTGTTTTTCAAGAGTGATTGTATGAGTTGTATTGTCCTTTGAGTAAGAGTAACCACTGGTCCATGCAGCACAAGAGGGGTTGAATGTGACTGTACTTCAGTCATGATCTCTTTATTCTCCATCTTTAGAAATCCAAGGGTAGTTAAATAAAACAAATATGTCACGAAAAAAAAAAAATTATTTGAAAAAATATATTTAAGAAATCGTCACCAATGATGCATAAATGCCAACTCTCCTGGATTATCCAGTAGTCTGCTGGATATGACACGAGTTATGAGGTTTTTGGTGCTTTAATTTGGAATTTATCCAATTTTTCTTTTGGTTTCTTGGGCATTTTTGCATGTATTTCATCAATGAGAAATATTATTTCGCCATTACTATCAAAAAAGCGAATTGTGATGGTCTGTACGTCATGTAAGACTTCATATAATGTCCTAAGCCATTCCCATGTGATAAATCAGGGACTGGATCAAATTGTACTTATCAGGAGGTCAGGGTCGAGGTCGGGGTCAGGGGGGTGTTCATTGATATTGGGGGGGGGGTAATGCAAAAGAGAGGGTGTTTAGAGTCTTTACCTTACACATCCATTTGCAGAGTTGGTATCTTGGAATTTTCTGACCAGAACAAATGAGAATTATCATTATATAAGGTGAGAATTAAGCCTAAGGGTGGGTCTGAACTGGAAAACAACTTTTACTATGGGCATGTGAGAAACAGGTGTTGTGAATGCAAAAATGTTTATTTACAAGAAGCAAAAATGTGGATGTTTTGATCATAATATTGTTATTAAATAATACAAGTAGACTAATGGAACTGGATTATAAAATGTTCAAGATCTAATCCAGTTCCACCAGTCTACTCATATTCTGCTCTAGTTCAACTATTGAGCACTCTTATAGTTGATGAGGACATCACTCTTGTACTTCGTTACTAAATAATATATATTTTTTCAGGCTTCCTTTTTGCAACTGCAAAAGTTGCATTCATAATATTATTATAATGATCTTCTTTCCATTAAGATGTTGTAGTTGATTACACAAGTACAGTGAAGGTGATCCCTTTGCATCTATTAAAATACACACAGTCAGCCGTAGTAACACAATGTATTTTAAAACTCTTCAAGATGCTACTGATTTCTGTCAACTGCCTTGTATTATTTTATAGTTTGAAGGATTCCACTTTGAGGAGGCTACATTTTCAAAAGATATTGATGTGCATAAAAATAATAATTTATTTACTATCTTTTGATACAGCGTTAAATTGACGATAATGTGGATAGTTGGCTGTTTTATTAGATACGTCATCTTATTCCCCATGAGGTGAGTTCAGATGCAGTTGTTATACATGTACATTTTTGTGCATTAGCCAACATATACAGTATGTGATAAGATGCAAGTGAGATCAGTAAGCATTTAACCCTTTCACTGCCAGAGTGTTTGATGGAATTTTGTAAGGTGACTCTAACTTTTGAGTCTGTGGACGAAATCCTATGATGTGACCATTCAATTGAAAGCTCTCTGCCTGTTCTTACACATGATGCTATAAGTTTCTCAAAATGTTACAAAATGAAATTTGGAAATCTGGTCAAAATTTGCCTTTGGCTACATTTGGCAGTGAAAGGGTTAATGGATCTACTCTAAGTGAAGTTCGGCCTTTATGGATATTGTGACCCCTATTGACAGTTTGCACCCTTTTCAGTATTCACGCACCCCATGAAGTCAATATCTATAGCCATTTCAGCAACCAACCTTGACAATTACACAGAAAAGGGGGGACTTACACTCTTTCCCATTTGTCATTTTAAACCTTGTCCACTGGAATGATGATGTTTGGTTTCTTACTTTTGGACAAGGAGAATTGTGGGCTTTTGTCTAGTATTATATTTCGCCAGTTGGTGGGGCTGTACTGATAATCGTAATATCCCTTTGCCTCATCAGGCTTACTGTTTTCCTTATTGGAATGACAATATTGATCACATCTAGAATTTTTATTGCACAACTCCCCAAATCCAGGTTAGTCAACATTAATTTATATTTTGCTGTTGCAAATAATTGCTTCAGTTGTTTGGATGATTGTTATCCTTCCTTGCATGCCTCTTGTGCTTACCCTTGCCCTTGCCCTTTCCTTTTCCTTTTAAACGTCTGCCACGCCCGAATTTCCCCATCCCCTTCAGGGGCACCCAACGACGGTTTCCTCTTAAATACATTGAAAACACTTTTTAGACTATCCAGAGTACTTTTAGATCTCTGTTCATGTATTCTAAGCTGCGCTATAAGATTTGTATCTGTTCAGTCATCTTAGGAGAACTAGAGTCTTTTCGAAGTTACAAGGGCTTCAGTATTATTTTCCCAAAAATTTAAGCTGCAATTTAACGTACTATGAAAATGAGAATTTTTCTGATTCTTCTCTCCATAACGTTTTTGAATCCGAAAGTTTTAGGTTTCCTTTTTTCTGCGAAAAATAGCCCAACCTGGGTAATGAAATGTGAAAAATTAAACTTCAGAAAGTTGCAGGTAATTTATAGGATAAGCTTCGAAAATTGTACATGAATGGAATGGTCATCTAGAAATTTTTAGTCGTCTTCAAGTAATAGAAAATTCTAGGCAATGTTTGCTTCTCTGAACAGATATTTAACTGAAAACAGTCATTGGGTGTTCCTGCCCCTTTCCCTTTTAGCTCCTTTTAACGCCTGCCATGCAGGCTTGGACGATGTTTTTCATTCACGATTTGCATTTCTTTTACCATGTTGTACAAGTGCTCTTTTATTCTTTTTAAGTTCTGTTTTATTTTTCTTCTTTGTAGCTTCAGGAACTGGCTAGATACCAAACTCATGCTGATCTCATTTAGAATATTTGCAAGAGCTGTGTCTGCAGTTATCACATTTCACAACAAGTAAGTTAAAGCTTTATGTTAAAGCTTTATGTTAAAGCTTTATAAATTATTCCGTTTTTGTCAGCGCTGACATTAATTTATTTACGAGAGAAAATTAAAGTGAAAAGTAATGATCTGCTTAAATTAACCAATGATTAATTGTGACCGTGGTTAAATTTGTGTTGGATGTCATTGTTGGTTTTTTTGCTCTGCCTTTGTTGACATGGTTTACGGTCATCTCGCCACCAAGAAGTCGACTCGCCGCCAACCAGTCGCCACCAAGAAGTCTAATTACTTGGTGGCGAGTTGGTTGGCGACGAGTCAACTTCTTGGTGGCGACTTCTTTGGTGGCGACTTCTTTGGTGGCGAGATGACCGGTTACCATTGACATGTTGTCCGTTTGTTCTTTGGTCTTGCTGATAAGACTGTTGTGTTTCTTGTTTGATTCTGGGTCCGGTTTCTTTTAATGCCACAGGTTGGTCTTGGTAAAATGTACTTTTCTTAAAGAAATTATAGTGCATTAATTTCTTTATTTTGCAGGGAAAACATGGCAAAGGGTGGAGGAATATGCGTAGCAAATCACACCACTCCTTTAGATGTGTTGATATTGATGTGTGATCGCTGCTACTCTCTGGTAAGTCATTAATTTTTATCTCATGAAAAGTAAAGGCAACAAGACAACTGAATAGTCGTTGCACATTCCTTATTATCCTATGAGTGTTTTCCTTTGTCTTTTTTTTCCTGAAGTCGTGTATGTTTTTTTTTGCACCTGTTGTTAGGTTGGTCAGCGTCAGCCTGGGTTGTTTGGATTCTTTGAGAAGACCCTTGCTAAGACCCAGGATCATATTTGGTTTGAAAGAACCGAGATGAAGGACAGATTGATTGTTACAAAAAGGTAAAAATTGGGAAAAGAAGTCAAGCGGAAATAAGCCGCCGCGCGTGAACTGGGGAAGAGGGTAGTGGTGGGTAGAGAAGTTAAAGAGAGAGCCGGTTACTCTCTCCCCAACCCCCGCGCGTTTTTCGCATCAGTTTTCACGATGTCTGCACGAGACGAGGACGACTACGAGTAGGAAATTTTCTCAATACTAAGTATTGTTCGCGGGTGAACCAGCGTCATTTTGGCGGGAAAGCGTGATAGCCAGCATCGTCATACTACTACGAGTTTAAGCGAGATTGTCGTATTGGCGGAAACTAGTTCTCAAATGTTAAAAGTTTTATCATTCTGAGCCGGATCAATTCTTTGTCTTTACTTTTTTGTCACTCCAGTTCAAATTCAGTGTCCATTCCTGTATACTTTGTTTCTTAATTGCATTCCCTGCCCATCCATTTGCTTATTTTCTTATTTCCGGTTATTTACTTCAAACTCCCGATAACTCGGACTTTTTTCGATTTCCCTAGAAGGTTCGAGTTATTGTGAGTCGACTGTGCGCGGAAAACCTTTCAGTCAAATCTAGTACTCGTAGTCGTTCTCGTTATCAAATCTAATGGTCTTAGACCTGGGAGTCTGGAACAGACTATATGAGCCAAAACAAGATACAAGCATCTGGCCTGAACAAAGCGTCCATTACATTGTTTGACAGGTTTGGATTTTAAATGCACCTATTTGAGCTAGGCGTGACTTTACTCTCAGTCATGTCCATTACTGTCGACATGATACAAATGGAAAAACTTGCTTTATTACAAATTGTTCGAGTGGGCAAGTTATGGCTTAATCGTGTTGTGCTGGTATTTGGATCTTAAGTTGATTTTACCCTTTCTGGTTACCCTCAAGGTTAAGAGAACATGTGGAAGATGCCAGTAAAAACCCGATATTGATTTTTCCAGAAGGTGAGTGACTTTTCACTGCTGCTGTTTGATGCACTAAAATACAGTGAAATTCAATTTAGATTATACATCATTGTATCAGTAGTGTATAGTTATGTGGTTTGTATAGGCGAATCTTTAACTGACGTCGTTGTCTACATTTTTTGCTCACTTGCATGCGAGTTAACCCATAGAAGGCGTCACCGTATGCACAAATTAAACTCTAATGCTGAAAGAGTTGGTTAATTTGAGCAATTTGAGCAATTTTCACCTCTTTGCAAGCAATAACGAAGGAAATACCAGCCATCGAAAACTGCGAAATTGCTGGGTGGCAAAAACGTTAATAAGCTCGTACGCTGTTTGTAGAGTTTCGAGTTTTTCTCCGAAACTATTTGGTAAAACGGGCTCATATAGTTTTATGTAGAGTCCACCTTGCGCCATTTTATGATAACATTAGTTTCCTTGTTAAACGCTCTGGAGTCTTCGTTTAAATCGCTACATAAATAAAAAATAATAACTAGTAATATTAGTAAGGCGGTATTTTTTACCCTAGGAACGTGTATCAACAACACCTCAGTGATGATGTTCAAGAAAGGCAGTTTTGAAATCAGCGGAGACATTTACCCTGTAGCGATCAAGGCAAGTGTGTTAAGAGCCAGTCATTGTCTTGCTTTCGTTATGAGCTGATCAAATAGGAATCTGGACATGTTTTAGTGTTGTTTTATTTTGTTTCTCTCTACAGTATGACCCAACGTTTGGAAATGCATTTTGGAACTCCAGTACTGAAGGATTTGCATTGTACCTGTTTCTTCTGTTGACCAACTGGGCGCTCGTTTGCGATGTCTGGTATCTCCCACGAATGACCCGTTTGGTAGGTTTTAAACATAGCACATCTTTTGCTGTCATGTGATAACCGTTAGTGGTAGAGCCCTTCTCTTCCTGCTCTGCAGATTCGAGTTTTGAAGTCGCCACAGGACTAGTGATCCCCAAAGCAGTTTTCTACTACGCGGTCGTTAGACTACGACTGGTGTTGTATTTGGAAAGGCACTGAACAGTAATCACACCAAAACGTGGCCCTTAAACAGGTTCCCGGGGGATGAGGGACGAGGGAGCCTGTAGACTTTGTTTGATTGCCGCCGATTCATGGTACCGGAGTCACGTCTGATTGGTCTAATTGCTCTCCTCCTTCGCTTACCCCTCCCTGTCAGCTCGCGCCTTCCTGCTTTCTATTCGCTTTTTACGCTAAAAGAGAGCTTGTTCCCAGGCTAACCAAAGCACAAAAGCTGACTTCACAATAGTCTCTGCGACAAGACTAAGAAGCACCCCATTTTGTCGACTGGGTTTTACTTGCACGTGCTTTAGTTTCTATGGATGACAATAACCCACCACACAAACCGCGGTATAGCTTTTTAAGAGTCCTGACATGCTTTGTGATATACATTTGTCGGTAGGAGGATGAAACCGCCGTCCAGTTTGCAAATCGTGTCAAGACAGAGATCGCTCGGCAAGGGGGGCTTGTTGACCTAATCTGGTAAGCTAGGAGTATTAATGATAGATAGCTTAGATTTTTTCAAAAATGAGGTCCTGTCTTAATTTCCAGCTGACAGTTTTTTGGAGTTAGGCCAAAGCTACTCATGCAGTTGTGGATCACCTCGACAAATTTTTGTTCTTTAGCGAACCCCGAAAGATTCTTCAGCAGACAATTAACACGTGTGAAATGTTCCACATATAGATTGCGCCTGGCTTCCTGGTGGAATTGTGTCTCACTTTAATTTAAGTGCGACCGAAAGTTCCTAGAAGGCTTGAGGTGGACAGGCACCACATCAAGCGGAAAATGTGTGGCTGAGTAGCATTACTTTTTTAGTCTTCCATTCAAAACCAAACGTCAACCTTAAGCTGTCTGAGAAAAAGGGCCTATCTTGATGAGAGTGACGGTCTTCCTCTTTGAGCGTTATCGAAGATGGTTTTTCGAACAAAACTCATTTGTCTTACTCTTTTTTGTATCATGTTGGGACAGCCTCGTCCCCAGGGTATTTCCTTTCTGTGTGGACCGCGACACCCAAGTTTATTTTTAATACTTTCTAGCTGAAAAGGGATTAGCTACCGACTTTGTGTAGTTGTTTAGCGAAACTGAAAAAGTTTTTCTTCGTGTTTATCAGGGATGGACAACTGAAGCGAACCTCGGTAAAACCTGAGTTCAGACAACGGAGACAAGAAGACTATGCCAGCACTCTGAAGGTTGACTAACCATACAACAGCTACGGAAAACTGACCCGCGCTGAGATGAAGCAGGCGCTAGATACCAAGCTGTTTGTCTCACCTGTACTTTGAGAATGAAACGGGGGCTAACAATAATCATTTCTTCACAAAAACAGACGGTGTCGAAATTAAGTGCTGATGGAATTCGTTCGTATGTTTTAGCATCCGTTTTTTATTCATTGTCATGAAATTAATGTTAAACCGAGATTCATAAACTCAAAATTCCTATTTGTGAATGAAAATAAGTATATCTGTCCATCATAGAGCAAGTTTATATTTAAGTAAGTATAGTGTACATGTATCGACCAATTTCCTCCAAACGACCGCAAGCGAGCGTCTTATTGACTATTTTCCAATTCCCCATAATACACTCTGTCTGCCCCCCAAATTTTGCATATCTTATTGTCTTAAAATGCTCTTGGGAAAATGCAATACTCCCAGGAGCATTTAAAAACAATGGTTTATGCAAAATGTGGGGGGCAAACAGAGTGTATTATGGGGAATTGGAAAATAGAGAATAGCTAAATAGCGAGTAGGGAGCTTTAGCATCCTATGGAAAGCGATGGCAGCGAAAACTTCGCTTAAAAGGTGAACTTGCCCTGTTTAAAACTTCATCGCTACTTTCCAAACTAGTTCAGTTTTTCAACTGCCAGCGGACTTTCTTCCATTTAAAATCCTGGGGACCGTATCCAAGTTCAGGAAATCGTTGTATTGCGTTTACGTCGACCATGAAACGCGAAATTAATTAGGAAATTGAACGTCCTAGCTATAGTCGAGAAGTGACGGCAAAGATATGCAACAAAAATGGATGATGCACGTGTAGAGTTGATGCTTTGTTTATTAACCCTCATGCTGCCGTTTTTTGTTGCAGTCGCCTTTGTCGTTTTCGTTAGTGCTCCCTGACTCGCAGATGTAATGGCCGCCTGCTCTAGGGTGGCATTATGGATGAGTACTTGTCGCATTGAAGATTAGTTAAAGATATTTTTTAGGGGCGGGTAAGGTAGTGGTAACTAGGGTATGGATGTAAATAAGTTTTTCTTGTAACTTCTGTAGATTGAATGATATTTTGTTAATGTGGACTAACAACGTGATGGGACTTCGCCGAATGACTCACATTTCTAAATGCAGTAGAGTTGTAATGTAGGAAAAAATACAGATTATTTATAACGGGATACGGAACTTAACTTATCGGGATTGGGATATGAGGACTTTTTAATAATTTTAATGGAGTATATTGTTTGTGTGTGAGACCGAGCAAAAAATCAAAGGTAAACAGCAAAAGAGACAGGGAGGAAGTGTTTTCCACTTTCTGAACGCCTGGAATAGGCTAGTTAAAGTGAAAAGTAATCTTGATTGTGTTGACTTGATGATTTGTATACTAGCTCTCTATCCTGGAAACTAAAGTAAAAAAGTAAGTCGGCAGTTAAAATTCAAGTGCTAAACCCAACTAAGCTTCAGCCCCCAGTAAAGGCAGTTATAGAATCAGGCCAGACGAGGGAAAGGAGTTTTGTCCCCGGTGGGAATCAAACCTGCCCACGACCTCCGGATTACAGTCAACTCTCGCTAAGTCGCACACATCTGGGGCCGATACTAAGTGTCCGTCTTAGAGAGATGTCCGTCTTATAGAGAGTGAAATAAAAGGAGTAAAGAAAGGCAGGGACCAACTCTAGGTGTCTGTTTTACAGAGGTGTCCGTCTTGTAGAGGTGTCCGTTAAGAGAGAGTCGACTGTAGATCTGTTGTTGCTTTCTCGACTGATCTACGAGGACAGACGGGTGCAATTCGTGCGTGATCAATTCACCCGGACTGATAATCAGCTTGGGATTAAGGCTGGGGCTATTTGTTTTGTCTCTTTCACGCAAGGTTCCGGCTTAGCGTTGCTTGAGGAAAAAAGAAAGGCTGTCTGTGAGACTAGGGTTATTTGTAGCAATTGACACCTGAATTTTCACGTCAGATTTAATTTTCTGTATATGCGAAAGTAAGTTAGCCTGATTCTCGGCCGGTCCGAAGTCTACCTCGAGAGAAGGTAGCAGCAGTGACCAAAAGCACGAGCAAGGCCGGTTGATACGGCAAGGGCCGCCAAAGAAAACTGAAGGGAACTAAAATGTGGGAAAATGTGATGCGGACGGGGAAGTTGCGTATAACTGCTGTATCTCCCTTTCCTAACCCTAAGGATAAACGGGGGGTTTGGAAAAGGGGCATTTAGAGTACCCCCTTGCATTTGCCACTTCCTCTCTATCCGACAAAGGAAACAACCCGGAGATATAAGGTGCGGAGGGGGGAAAGTCCGTTAGTCCTTGTCTCATGCTCACGAGCCGTCTGAGAATCGGGCTAGAAAAAAATTAATATATCTGAAGAAATACACAGAGACTAATTGTATTTTTGAAAATGTTCATGTAAATTAGTTTTTACAGTCGCAGGAAAAACGCTTCTGAAAAGTTCAACCTAGGAATAGACTGCTAGCCCTAGGTTCAGCCAGTATTCATGTGATTTAATCGACGAGATGTCAGTACATTACTAAATAAAACATGTTATCTCAATGGGTATTTGTAATGGGCATTTCTTTGTTTAGTGTTTAGTCTAAACAGTGTTTTGAAGGCTTTCTTTATATCCAGATGAAGAGAAGCGAGTTTCGTAATAACGCACAAACCATTCCTAGAATTAATCTGAAAGGGAAAGAACTTGAAATGTATTTTTTCGTGGTCAGTTTCATTGAGTTTCGGTCTCTAACACTGCATTTTTTTTGTAAAGTTCCTGGCGGGTGGTTCTTGGGTAGATATCCGAAAACAGTGAGGACTCGCGAACTGTTTTCAAAATCAATCGGTTTTGAAAATTTTAAAATCTCTTCTAAAGGGACTTGCAGCTCTGTAGCCCGAAAAACAGTATACAGACTTATAAAACTTGGAACTACTCTGAAAATTAAAAAGATCTGTTTGAGCTCTAAAGTGTCAATTCAGCACTACAGGCCAAAGTCTGATTCAGCCGTTCCTGGAGCCATTTGAGCACAATTTAGGCCAAAAAAGCTCAATCAGAAGGCTATTCCAGCCCACGGTAGGGCAGATTTCAGCCCTGGGACCAAATCAGCACTAGATAATTGGACTGTATTGGCCCTGTATTTTACTCACCGAAACGGCCCTATTTTTAGGGCTACAACAGATCTCTCTCATGATTTACAGTGTACATATTGAATGAATAGCGCCATGTGAAAGTGCTACAATACAACTAGGTTTCATTTGAACGTTAACACCATAGGATTTCACATGACTTTCACAGTCCTTCGTAGTCATGCAGTTTTGTCGACTTGATACAAAGCTCAACTCTAAAAAAAATACCATATATCCATATAAATTAAAACACTACCAATAAACAGGCTTTAAGCCCCCAATACAGTTCATTATTACCAGTTATATTTCGTCCTTTTAATATGGCTGCCTAATTAATAAATTGACTTAATGTCCTTTATTTATTTCCTACTTAATCTATTTACAATTTAATAGACCTATACACCTGTTTGAAACTAGACTAGTACCTTGTCGCCATTTATGAATGTGGTGAGTTTAGAGAAGAGAGAAGATTGGATGACTTAATGATCCCCAGATCTCTTATCGATTAAGCCGAAGGCTTCGTCAACATGTAAGATATGTGGGTACGAGAATATGGATGACCGACATTGAAGCTCAACCTAACCCTACTCTTCTCTCACTCGAAAACAAATATATAGTGACTGGAACTACCGCATCACCCTTTAATACCAGACTGACAAACAATCATTGGCTATTACTGTGTCCAGTAAATAAAAGTTTGTCTTACCATTTCACGTGAAGTGAGTTTCTACTGATTTCTAAGGAGTTAAAATTTGCATGAAAACTGGCGAATGCGGCTGGAAACAGTCCAGCAGCCATCCTCGGAGACCCAGGGGCAGATAGTGGGGGCGAGGGAAAGTCTAAAAGGGCGGAAAAACATGATGGCACGAAGAAAAGTAAAGAACGGCGAGAAGATCCCCTGGGGACAATGTCTTACCAGACCAGTTCAAACGGTCGCCGCCGTTCTGACTTCTGATTGGTGCCAGAAAACTTTGTGTTTTTCTGCCCAATCAGAAGGCAGAACGGCGGCGACCGTTGGGAACTGGTCTGGTAAGACATTGTCCCCAGGGACTCTTCTCGCCGTTCTCTACTTTTCTTCGTGCCATGTTTTTCCGCCCGTTTAGACTTTCCCTCGCCCCCACTATCTGCCCCTGGGTCTCCGAAGATGTCCAGCAGCCTGACTAGTTCCTTGGCGCTCTAGTTCCGTCCTCTTGCAGGTGATTGCAAAGTTCGCGAAGCTGGCAAAAAGTACTTTTCCCTATACCATTATGAACTTGATTTGATTAAGAACTTTACTTTAAAAATAAATAATAAAGCCGCTTCTAAAACGAAAAATTTCGCCACTTGCACGTCGGTGTCATTGGTCTAAGCAGTTTTAATTTACCCAAAAGTGTGTCGTAACACTTCCTAATAATTATATATGCCATATCATTTAATCAGGAATGAAACCCAACGAAAACAAAACTGTTTGTGACGGTTAGTAGTTGTTGGAGGACGCGTCTATCTCAAAGAGGGCTCCGAACCAATTCTGAGCCGGACGCGCCTGGTCATAATTCTTCGAAGGGCGTTTTTCGTGCAAATTCAGGTATGTAACTATCCAAGAAAATTTGGGTGCACTATTTGCGGTTAACCCATGATTAGAGATAACAGGGCCGGGAAATACTTGGCTATGGTCGACTGTATTGGTGAATTTTCTTATTAAAGTTATGCATGGGACAAAACTGAAAAACCAATCTTACCGTCTTAAAATATATATGTTCAATTATATAAAGCGGTTATCAATTTGAATACATGAAGTTCTCAAAAGATGATTGGTTCTCTGAAAAGCGCCTGATCACGTCCTGAGATCTCCTTATAAGGAGAAGTGGGGCGTAAGGGGGGGTACGAATACCGCAAAACTGCACAGAATTACGTATAAACACCACACAGAATAACATAAGAAAACCGTAAACCGCAATGAAATTACGCGAAAATTTCTAAATGCCGCAAACCGCTCGGTTTTTAAAACCGCAATAATGCAACTTAAAATAACTATTCCCGCAAAAAACCGCACCAAAAATCGAGCAAAACCGCATCACCGCAAACCCTTACGCCCCTTTCAAAGGACTAGGATAAGACGTATTCTAATGTTGTTCAAGACAGATGAGGTATCGTAAAAACTTTCAAAAGAGCTCTATTATTTTAGCGCACCCGAAAGAGGATTTACAATCGCCATCGTAATTTGTTGAATTTTCTGTCATGGCAATATATTAGACACATCTTCCCAGATTTTTTGAAATTCAACTTAAATAAGTTGCCGATATCCGCGCACCATGAGGACAAAATACAGTTCCAATGAAAGATGGTGCAAGTCAGCGGATTCTCTAATCATACACAGCTGAGCTGGGGAATGATAAGTTACCACTGACGCAATTATAGCGGTACTTTCTGCAATCTTCCTCTGCTCGTCGTCAAAATCAAATTGCATATCATACATCCGTTGTCCTTATTTCACTGTCAGGAACCGTTACTCCATCAACAAGCAAATAAGTTTTATTTTTCTCCTCGTCGTGGTAGGTGGAGAAATGACGTTGGAAAACAGAATCGTCCTTTTCTAACGCGTTTTCACCGCAAACTTTGACTTCTTCGTCAAACGATACTGTTCGTTCAATCTGTTTGCCTCTTGGTTCTGGCATTGTTCTATCCATTCTTGGCAATGATTTATCGCTGTAATCAGTCTTTAAGGACTCATTGTTGTTAGAGGCGTGTTCTAGCTGGTACCAGTCGTTATAGGACGGGGGAGGAGTTGCTCGATCAGTAATGGAGCGTTTATCTTCTGGCGTCTCAATGCCTCTTTCGACGCTACCGTCATCACTGATGGACTCGTGACTAACAATTCCATTCATTTTCACGGTGTCCGTGTGATTTAAAAGAGGCTTTTTGTGGGACATGAGATTGCCGTTCGGCATGGCACTATCTGAGTTCTTCTTTCCACTACCCCTTTTGTCGTTGAACGTGTTTTGTCGACTGCGAAACGACATGATGGACGTCTCCATCTCGGAAAGGTGTTGAAAATCTTTCCCGCACATTCTTCTTATGACACCCTTAAAAGCCAGCTTAAAAGTAGGGTTCAGAAAAGCATAGATTATTGGATTTAAGCAGCTGTTTAGATAGTGCAGCCATTTCACAGCTGATCTTATAGCCGGTATGCTGTCAATGTCGGTTGCACACGATTTGCAGTATTGATAAGCTAGAGACGTCAAAAAGAAAGGAAGCCAACACAAGATGAATGCTCCAGTCACAACACTCAGGCTCTTGGCTGTTTTAAACTCATTAGAAAGCTTCCTGCCATGACGGTTTGTGAAGCGAGATCTTGTGAAGACTACAGAGAGAATCACACCGTAGCAATAAAGAATGACCAATAGTGGAACAACGAAGGCAAATAAGAAAATGACCAGGTACTTTGACTCGTGGTTGATCAAGTAAAGGCAAGACGTTCCGAGAGCATGGATCCAGGTAGCCAAGATGATCCACTTGCATGTTCCCGTGGTCATTTTTGTGTGGTGAATCAGTGGACGTTTTATTGCGAAGTAGCGATCGATGGAAATGAACATCAAATTGGAGATAGAAGAAATCGCACACAAGATGTCTATCATTGACCAAGCCAAAGAGAATGTTTGCACGTCCACTTCTGGCGGGTAGTACCAAGTTGTAATTTCGCCAGCCAGCCAGATGGGTTCTGTAACGAATGCCACCATTATATCACTAACTGCTAGGCTTAGAATAAACCAGTTTGTGACGCTCTTACGAATCCGTTTGAACATGTAGAAAGCTGTTACGACAAGACCATTGCCGAAGAGTGTTAAAATGATGAGAATCAGAATCGCTATCGATGATATGACCTTGTGGGATAAAGTGTTTTCTGGGTACCCTGCAGCGGTCCCAGTACTCGAGTTATTCAAACTTGCGTTAGTAGCAGTCATGTTGAAGAATCAACCAATGCTGCATCCAAGAATTCAGGTATCTTTGTTCGCTTTCCCCACTGTATAATGACAAGATGACCTGAAATATAATAACAGGTAATCTATTCAACAACATTTCGCCTCATGAAAGGGAATACAAGACAGTCTTGGATTCTGGATCCCATTCCATGGATTCTGGATTCTGGGTGCTGGGGCCTGTTTCTCCAAAGTCCCGATAACGTTTCGGGCCCGGAAAGCTGTTTTGTGTTTGTTGCTTTTGCATTCAATTTCAAAGTTTCAATAATTTTGAAAATAATATAATGAAACTATCAGTTAACGAAGAAATTTGGACTGGTCATGGGCTAGTATTCTAGCTATACAGTTGACTCTCTCTGAACGGACACCCCTATAAGACGGACACCTCTGTAAAACGGACACCTAGAGTTGGTCCCGCCTTTCTTCACTCCTTTTATTGGACTTTCCATAAGACGGACACTTAGCGCCGGTCCCAAAGGTGTCCATCTTAGAGAGAGTTGATTGTATTCTGCTAATATTCAGCAGGTTTGCATTCGGGACCAAATTTTTCCGGGTCTTTCGAGAAATGGGCCCCTGGTTGGGCCACCCAAAGTTTTAATATGGAGAAAAATTGGCCCGGTAAGGAAGGGTGACCCTACCTTTGAAAAAAGGCGACCCAGCTGGGTAGGTCACCCTTCTAGCCGAGCCAACTTTTTGTATCTCATGTTAACGGTATGTGAGGGGTAGCTCGGGTAGGCGAGTGATCCTTCTGCTAAGGATAAGTTTTCTCCAAAAAACGGGGCCTAAGCCAAGCTCGGGGCAGTTTGGCTTAGCAGTTAGTAATACGCCCACGCGATTTGGTGGGCCGTTCAGCCATGCGTAGAGCCGGAGCCGGAGCCGGAGCCGGAGCCGGAGCCGGAGCCTATCCGACATATAAAATCGGCCTTCCTTCTTTTCGTTTTTTAGCCGATATATGACGCTCTACTTTCGAAGTCAGCGCGGCGCAACTTTGCTCCGTTTCAGAAATCGCGCCAAAATCGCCGTTGTTATGTGTCAGTTGTTGTTACGTAAAGTTATCGCTGCAGTTAAGTTTTGACTAAGAACACGTGATCAGAGGCGGATCCAGGGGGAGGGTTGAGGGGGTTACAGCCCCACCTCCCCTTTGGGAAGTTTTCAAACTTGTCTGGCTACCCATGTCTATCCCTCTTTCACACCAAAAATAATATAAATTATAATATAAGTTCCAGTCCAGTCGATCATTATAAGAAGACTTTAGTTATCCCTTTTCTTGACTCCTTAATTATTCAAATGCAGGATCGATTTTTGACGAAGATTACCACGCCCTCAATTTGCGTTGTCTAGTGCCATCGATTATAGTAAATAATTCACTAGCTGCAGCTAGATGATGAAGTAGAAGGCATGCTCTTCTAGGAGAAAGATATTCCATTTCTTAAATCCCTTGGCAATGAGGTACGTAGATGGAAAACACTCTGGCAGTCAACAGACAGGGAGCTTCCGAACAGCCTTTTATTAGCACTTGGTGTCTGCGATGAAGATGCTTTCCTAAACATCTATCGCCTTCTGGTCGTTGCCTGCACCCTACCGATCAGAAGCGCAGAAGCTGAGCGATCGTTTTCACTGATGAAATAAATCAAGACTTGCTCTAGGTCAACAATGCCTGAAGAGCGATTCTCTGATCTCGCAGCGATCGCCATGTACTACTCCGAGAGATTCGAGGAAGACGAGATATGCCAAACCTTTGTAAAGGCTCATCCAAAAAGGCTCTCTCAAGCTAGTCTGTTTGATTAAATACATGTAGGCGGGTAAAAGAGACAAACAACTCTCGTTGTTGCACTGCACTCAGTCCTTAATAATAGTGTCTCAAATTTATGCCTCTGAAATCAAAATGAAGAAAATCTACACATTCAAACATAACCCTAACCCTAACGCTCCCCTCCCCCATTCCTTTGGCCCTGGGAAGTTTGCCTTCAACTCTCATACTTACAACGCCCAAATCCCCGATCCGCCTCTGCCGTGATTCCTGATAGTTTTATCAGTTTGGTTTTCAAATAGAGTTTGTATACATATTTTGAAGCTTATGAGCGTGGCTATAAGATTACATTTTAAACATTTTTGCTGCTCAAAGCCTTTTTATTTATGAAACTACTCCAACGGTTTCACTTTTGAAGCACGTTCCAATGAGCTACTTGAAATCTATTTAAAATCACTGCATAACCAACAAAGGGCATGCTATCAGTATGATTGATAACTTTGTACTATGCTTTCCCTAAGGGTCCTTGAATACTCCTGCGAACATTTTATCGTTTTCCATACAATTAAACTTCAGATTACGTTAAAGCAGTTAAAGAAATTCCGGTTCTTTGCTTTGAACGGACACTTTGGCGACGGCTTAGTTCGCTCTCCGATTGACATGAATAAGATAGCCTTTATTTTAAAACGATGAAAATTAAAGCTACATGAGCTTGTGGGGTCGTTTGCAATTAACTAATTACAAGTAAACTAAAAAGCTAAAAACTAGGGGTATATACAGACAAAATGTTTGAACTAAATGAACGCTTACAAATATGAAATTATGAGCATAAATTTAAGTATATACAAAGTCATCTTTTCTAAAATTACAAGTGGATGCAGACGTTATCTTAAAGCTGAATTCATTAAAATTAGCTTGAGATTTAAGCTTTAGCCTGAGATCACGATAAGGAATGTTTTTTGTCAGGGCACTACAGTTGTTGGTCACTGCATTCCACAGGACTGAGCCTCTAAACGCGACAGAGTCTTTCATGTAACGCGTGTTGAAGCGTGGAACAATTAAAGAAGCGCAAGTCCGGGTTGAATAGTTTGTGGCCCGTTTCTTAGAAATCAGGTCGATTAATGTGACAGGTAACCTATCGTGGAAAGCTTTATGAAGACAGATAAAAATGGCTAATTTATAATGAATAGACAGAGTCGGCCATTGGGCCAGTTGTAGGACATCAGCAGATGCCATGTCTTTCGGCAAATGAAAGATAAGTCTCGCAGCCCTGCAGTGAAGTCTTTCCAGGGAATCCTATTTATTTTTACTTTAAAGAACATTCGGCAAACTTCTAGAACTTTTATAAATATATTTTTTTTTAATCACCGCATAACCAAAAAAAGGCATGCTAATCAGTATGATTGATAACTTTGTACTAAGCTTTCCGTAAGAGTCCTTGAATTGACTCCTGCGAACATTTTATCGTTTTCCATACAAGTAAACTTCAGATTACGTTAAAGAAATGCCGGTTCTTTACTTTGAACGGACACTTTGGCGACGGCTTAGTTCGTTCTCTGTTGACATCAATCCTATTCATTTTTACTTTAAAGAACGTTCGGCAAACTTCTAGAACTTTTATAAAAATAGCCTATTTAACAGTGAGACTATTAAGCACTTCCGTTATCTACACTTGCGGTTTGCAGTTGGGTACAGAACACTTGTCCTAAAGACCCCTATCTTAATATAATCACAGTAGGGAATAGCTATTTCTATTTCGCCTATTTTAGAACTTTTAGTCTACAATGGGTTTAAGTTGCTTTTATTTTGCAGATTCACCCACAGCCCAGCAGGAGGCATGTTTGCTATTATTTTTCAAATAGACTGGCAAGAAGGTTAGAATGCTTTCATGATAATATAAACCCATTAAAATAATCGGCTAACATGAGGAAAAAACAGACGCTAAATTTTAGATTTCATATACTCCCAAAGAAACCATGAATGAGCTAAAAATTGAAGAAGACCTTCGACATTTAATAGCAATAATCTTTTTACGTTAAGCGTTAATCGCTGGCTGACTGAATTGCAAGATACTTATCAGAATGGAAAAGGCTCGAAGACTGAATTGCTTGTCAAGGAAAATCTGATAATACAGGTACACAATTTAAAGAAAGTTGTATCGTCCAATAGGTTTTACAACACCAGAGCAATCAGAATTAAAGTCGGTGCTAAATTTTTCTCCAAAAAATGCTAGTGTTAATTACGGATCAAAGCTAGCGGCAAGGAATGTTCCCAATTAACTCAAATGACCAACGAACAGTCACGAACAAACACTGAAGTAATTAAGAATACTTATTACAGCAAAATAACCTTAGTCACTCAGATATCTGGACTGAAGAAATTGAATTGACACAATCCCTTAATGATTGTCATGGGTTTAATTATCTCTCAGTTCCACAATCGTGAGTAATTATCGGTGAAGTTAAATATATTAAACACAGGCTCTACTGTTTATTACACTGCTGATAATTGTGGTCAAATTATAACAAAATCAGTCCGCATTTAAAATACGAACGAAAAACGTCATGTTCTTTAAATTACCTCACTAAAGGGACACGTATCCCAGATGCCGTGTTTCTGCGTCTACATCATTCAAGGCGAAAATCGGCGAAAATGTTGTCTTATTTTCTCCTCACCTGCGTATTTAGCACTGCAATATGGGAAGGAGATTCAATAAACTAATTTGCGCACACAAGGGCTACACACAAGGGCTTTCTGTTCGTGTTAAATTAGCCTGAAGGCGAACAACTGAGAATCGCTAATAAGGTACTCTGATCGCAAGTATATCCTTTCCCAAAACTTTGAGTGTGTGTAGCCGCTGATCACCGAGTTGATTTTGTACGTTTTTCAGCCCACTTTGCTTCACTGTCTAGAGGGCACTGTTTCTCCGACAGAAGACCAAAGCTCCAACGATGAGGAACGGACTCCACAGTGTGATCAGACGGCTGGCTATATGTATTCGTCTGTTTGCTCTCTTAGTTCATGATAGAGTTCATAACATCAATTTCCTATGACCTCTGATTTCCTGAACTCGCGAGAGAAACAAATGATGGTCCATATAGTCGCAAGTTAGAGATTAGATGTTTTGTTGGTTTTCTTTTAATACAAAACAAGAGGGGCAATATGAAATCACCTTTGGCGCAAGGCAAAAAGGTCCTTTTTGCTAAAAAATTAACCATGATCGGTGTGTATTCGGCGATAGATTTTCAACCAATCAAACCATGCACAGCAGTGTTGTGATGTTATCTGTGATGTCCGCCTCTAACTAGCCTGCGTGTAGACATCTCAATAATGAAATAGGGGACGATTGCACGCAGGCTACTTCTGAAGTCTGTGCATCCTAACTTACAACACTAACAGGCAGCCGTTTTTGCGTGATGAGAGGAAAACGGCTGACAAAGAAATGGGCACCATAAAATTAAAAAAAGCATTATTAAGTTGAACATCTCAGCCACAATCCACGAAAGCCAACGTATTGGTTTATTTGTCCGGGAAGCGCAGACACACTCTTTCTTCTTAGGAGCGAGTTCTACAAGTTTAAATTGTCACCTTCCTACAGCGTTCTCTTTGCTCTTTCTAAACGGCAGGGGGAGGGGGGGTGGGGTACTCCTTATAATCACCTATACGGGGAGGCTCCGCCCGAAAGGGGCACCTTTTCCAGCCTTTAGGTAAAAGAAAGGGTAGGGATTTCGCTAAGTTAGTTGAAGTATATGAAAAGGTAGGGAAATCTATCATTTCGGTCGTAAGAAGGCCCAAAAGAGCCGACAGATACATTTTATGGCTGTGAAAAAGTCGAGAAAACTGGGGGTTCTGGTTACACTGTCTTTACAGCAGTTAAAAGGGATGCGAATTTCTAAACTACGTACGTGAAAGGGGTACCATTTGTCAATAGAAGGTATACGAAAGGGGTACCTTTTCTGCCATGACCGGTAAATAGATCCCTGCCGTTAAGAGATTTAAAAACTGTGTATGCGAAGTTATAGCTAGAGAAGATAATCAAATGTGCCTCATCCCACTTCATGCCGCAAATTGCAATTGGCTGCAAGATAAATAAGGGTGCTTGCTTTTAAAAACTTGATTTAAAACCTTTTGTTCATGTGATATTAGTAACCAATCGCAGCAAGCATACTGAGAGGGAAGCAGACGGGTTCAATTTTTCATTCCAACCTTTTTACTTCAGTTTATGCTAAACAACAGTTACAAGTCATTAATACGTTAGGATGCCACTTTCACGACTAACTTATTTACCTTCCATCTTTGTAAGAAAAAGGTAAATGCCTTATAACGGCTTTTCTTTTACAAATGCAGCCCGTGGGATAAGCACTGACCTTAGATTAGAGGGATGGCCCAGTCTTGCAACCCCGTTAATCCAACGGGACTAACTGTGACGGCATGAAAACAAAGCGAAAAACAATTCATGTTATAGTGTGAACACACAGCATCAGGTTTTTCTTTTTCAAGTTTACATTGTCTGTCTCAAATTAAGCCTATTATTTCTTCAAAACACACGTTTATGAGTCTTAAGTTTCACGCACTACTCCAGAACATGTTCAAACTGAGGTTAAAAATTCAGTATAAAGTTCAAAGTTGCGTGGAGTGCATGTCCTTGAAAATGAACAGCTATACTAAGAAAAGGGATAATTATATACTTAGATGTGTTTGTTTTGTTGTAAAAATTATATCAGTAGTTTTTCCGTTTTTTTGTTGACTGGTAATTAATAACAATCTCAGCACGCTAGTGAGTCAAGGGCATACTTGAAAGAAAGGAAGATGAATTGTGGACGCTATGTTTTGACGGTCATGTGTCTTTCAAGCCGACGCACTTCACCCCAAAACCGCAAGTGGAGTGACAACGGAAGGAATCAAATCACGAATATTTGAAAACTTAAGATTTTAAAACAAAGCAAAAATCAAAAGGTTAAAGATAATTAACCTTGTAGCAACGTACCCTAATGTAGTGGTTCTCGGTGAATTACGCACAAGTGAGTAGAATAACAAACCGAGCTTTGCGGAATGACACTGAATGTAGGATTCGAATATCACCCCGAGGCACTTGTACTCTTATAACTTCATCAGAACAACCAATATAAACATTTAAACAGCACATACCATCAGAATACTGCTTAACTTAAGCGCAACAATTCTGTGGCTTTGAATAATCGGCCTTTGCCAGGAATTGCATTAGATGGCATTTTCATGCAGCTGAAGAATTTCGTGCACAGAAAAGTACAACGTAAAAGTAGTTCATCTCATAGAATAATAGTTCTAGAGACTTAACTGAATTTTAAATTTCGCTATTTGAAAAATGGAGCTCGTTTGACCCCAATGAAGATGTGGTTTTGTTTTTAGCTCTAAATAACAGCCGAGAAATTAATATAATTTCCTCATAATGACAAAGATTCTGTAACAAATATCTTTACAGGTGATGTCTTCTTGGGAATAACCAACAAAAAGTTAAGAATGAGAGTTAACAAGCTTAATTTAGATGATAAATTCCCGTTTTACCTGTATTACTATTTTGTGTGTTTTTGTGGTGATACAAAATCAACACACTCGAGGCAGCAACGCTCAGTAGAGAACGTGATAATATTTGATCGACACCGAGGAGAAGTGAGGTCTTCCCAACTCAAATTTAGTTTAAAACTAACCTTGTTAAGGCGGTAAAGGTGTTGTCCAGATCTTCTCCGTTTTATTAGGGATTCGATCCGTCGTTTCCAATGTTTGAAGTAAAGCGAAATCTTAATGAATTGCACTGCTCCCTTGGAGTAGCCTTGACCCACGCAGCTTGATCAAGACTCGACGTTTATATAACAAATTTAGTTCATCTTGTACCCTCTGTGTCGGAATTCGAAAAAACACCTTAATGTCTCGTTGAAAAGCATTGGTTTCTGTTGTTGTATCATACGTCAGAGTTAAGTTGAATATTTCGGCGACAATTGCTTTTCCTGTTGTGAGCATATAAAGCTACGATTTCTCAGGCAAATTAGCGGCAAACTATGGAGCGCATCTAACTACGGAAAGAAGAGACAAACGTCATCTGTAATTTAGATAAACAATGAAATCGCCTGGAGCGAGATGTAGTTGACTGACCTCTCAGAGCACTACAAAAAGGGTCTTCTAAAGAAACTTGATAAAATGTATACACTCAGTGCCACACCAAGACAGCTCTATCACAATTTATCTTAAACCAAGGGCGTACAATGCCTTCTTGAGAAACGTATTTGATGTCGTTGATGGAAACGGCCGAAATTAGCGGTTCAGATAAATTTTGTGGTTCTTATACAAAATCTTGGGCTACGAGAGAAGGCAGACACTACCTTAAAACAAACAACTGTTAACAGATCAGCAGTAAACGAAACATATAAACAGAAAATCCTGCTCGACATTCATAAAGCTTGAACTCGATCGATTCTATCTGGAGTTGGGTTCTGCCCTTTTCATTGCAAAACCGAACGAAGAGCTACATAGAGAGGCTCTTATCAGCTTGTTAAGATATTTGTGGTATTTGGAAAAACATTTCACAGGAAACCTAATTATTATTTGTAATACGCTCGGTAATCTGGCATGAAAGTTAATGTTGCCTACGCTAAGTAGAAAAAACAAAGTAGAACTTACGAGATGTTTACACAACTTAACCGATTTAACTCGTGTTTTAATTCCTCACATGAAAGCGCCTTTACGGGGTCTTTACCTCTGGTAAAGGAGTGACTTATGGTTTAATTGACAATGGCTGTTCATGAGCAGGGATTGAAATAAGATTAATTAAAGATGCATTTCACCTTAGAATCACGGTTTTTGCAAGAAGACTACAAGTTGGACCACACAGCATCAGTGTTGGCTAGTTTTCGCCTGACCGCTTTCGTCAGAAAACCGCGCGCGCGCTATTTATGGCCATGTTTCTGGTAGAAGGTACCTCTATGTAAGAGTGGCAGCGCGTAATGTAACACTGAAATTAATAAGCTAGGATAAGAAAGTGCTAAATACCCTTAATTCAGCCTATTTTCTAGGGATGTCGTGCACTCACGGCTAAGAGCACGAGACGTGTGTTTTATAAAACAGATCGGAAGTAGTTTATGTTTTTGTCAGAACTGATAAGTGTAAGCCCCCTTAAGGAGATTTTCACGGAATTTAAAGTTCATCCTACAGTTTGGCCTTGTCGGCAACCGAGTCTCTTCTGGTAATACGACAACAATAATTTACTACCAATCTGTCGTTTCGGTATAAACAAGATTTAACTGTGGTCGTGGATTTATGAACCGGTAAATTGCCTTATAAGAGGTTTCCGCGAAATCTTGTTACATCTCACGCAATTCTGTAAAGCCACGCATGCAAAATACGAAAATTAAATTTAACAGAAAAACTGTAATTCGACAGTTTCTTTTTCAAAATTTACTGTTATTTAAGTGTGTAAGAACAGGATGATAGAAACTACAGACAGCATCGTAACAATGTTTTAATTTTAAGTATTTTACTTAGTTTCCCTCAAGGAATTATGTCTTAGTTTTTTAAGCTTCAAGGTAGCAATTATAATTCTCCTCAATGTGATTAACAAGCTAAAAGAAAAAAATTTGTTTTAAATACTTTGCTTTAATAAATTTGCATTCCCTTTTCAGTAAAAAAGAGGTTAACGGCCTTCTGTTTTATGCTTAGCGCCTTTTTAGTCGCTCTTCTTTGCAAAAGTTATTGTGCCGATTTTTATCAGTAAATTGCTTTTTAAGTGTTGTTTCGCGCAAAGTTAAGTTTTATTGCTGCACACATGTATTCGTTCACAAGAGCACTCTTTGTTTAGTTCCTTCAGGTTAAACCGACCAATGTTTTGTCGGCGAAGGGGCACGAAATCAATATCTACATAATAACGAACCAAATGAATCACACATGTTTCTGAAGAAATGTTTCGCCATCTTAATTAAATGAATTCCTTGCCTATCTTGATAGTCTAGAGATACAATTTTACAAGTTTAGCATGTAACCGGCTTAATTGTACAAGAATAGTCGTTTGTAAACAGTATAAACGGCTATAGTTTTTTTCAAAGTTTTTTTGTTAAAAAATTAACCTACCAATACATCAATATTCCTTATCTTTCTTTACTGCTTTTGTTTTGGAGGTTTATAAATCCGGAAACTTGTCAAGGCTGTGCAATAATTAGTTTTGTGTACGTCAACAATAATTACAATAACGTGGATAAAGTAGAGCAAAGTATTCCAGTTGAAACAGATTTCTCTTCGCGATAATGAAGGGTATTCAGTTAAACATGTTCTGACCGGATCATATCAGTCACATGAATTAAAAGGATGAAGCAATCACAAGCTTTTTAGGTCTATAACTGACTTAAAAGCCAGCTACCCTAAATACTAAGTAACGGAAAATAACTCATAATTAAATGTTTGACTTTAGTCTCTAAGACACGGACTAACAAGAAGAAAATGTCGGTTACAACGCTCAGAAGTGGGTTATGTAAGCTAAAACCATGTCGGCTAGGTTCAGGCCAAATTTTAAACAAAAATTAGTCAACTGAGTACCTATTTTCAAACCCTAGAGAAATGTAAACGTAGAGACAGTCAAAATATATGAGGTCGAAAATACTTCCCCAAAAAATCTTTCAATGTTTATCCGACCACAGCTGCGCATGTCAGAGTTATTTATTGTAACTGCCTTGTCTTTCAACTGGCCAAGTCTGGGGCGAAAAACATGTGATAAAGTGATTAACCCGGATGGTTGGAGCTGTAATTGATTTGTTTTGCTGCTCGATTGTATCTTTTGACCTTGGAAACGGCTATAAACAGCCCTCTTAAGCAACTGAGAATGTGAAACGTGAGTTAACCCCAGTTTTTCCAGTTGTTCTCAGTTCACCCCGTTTCATTATCAATAAACTTCCTTTTAAAGTAAGGAGAAAAAGCTTCATCAAGTCACACCACAGATAAAAACAGAGGCTATTCGTAGCTTTACAGTATTTTTATTTTCAAATGAAACTTTGAGGCGACGGAAAAAGAAGTTGGTGAAGTCATGGAAGTGCGTGTAACTAGACTGGTTCCCCAATGAATCCTGATATTCCCGTACTATTTTCCTTCGCAAACATTCTATTTCCGGGTGATGAGATTCACATTCTTAAGCTATATTTTCTTCATACTCTTAGGTGATTAGAGGGGAAGTGTAGAAACAAATCAACATAAGTTGACCTCGACAGAATATAGCTAAATAACATGCATGCTTAAATTAGCAAAGAAAGTATCCAAAATGCTTTTCTGAAGACTTCAATATTCAAAAACGCGATGGAACAAACAGTTATGGTATTAAACCAATGCCATTCTTTGATAGAAAAAACCGACGCTGATTTAACGCCAAACCCATGCTCAAATCTTGCGCATAAATTGATCCAGCTCTCTGAACGGAACGCCTATAGAAAAGAACTCATGCTAACTAGCTTTGTTTTTCTCATCATATATATCGCTTTTTGATCTCAAATAGCTTTGCATTTTGAAATGTGGAAAAACGATCAAGCACGATGAGGAAATAGTTATCCCAACAATCAAAGTCGCTCGCAAAAAGTAAGGAAAATAATTTAATCGCTTTCATTGCTTCACTTAGCGAAATCGTAAGGTGACAAAGTGATAATTTAACTACTTTTATCCTAAAACGGAGGGTCTGCTCTCCTGAAATGCGAGACAACTGTTATATTTTTATTTTATTCACGATGGATTTAATGTGTTGATTTAAGATTTAAATAAGACCCTTTTTGTAAACGAATTATTTGTTTTTAATTGGAACCAGGGAGGTGAACAAATATTTAATAAATAGAGAGCTCGTACACTCAAACGCCCGTTATTGCTGTGAAAAAAAAGGAAGGTTAATTTAATTTAGTAATCGAATTGAACACAGAACTATGCGTGAATGACGTTTGTTATTTTCCTCCCTTGTTGTGGCAAATTAACTATCCTACCTCCGTTTTTAATAGCCTGTGAATTTCTTGGCTTGCAGTAAACGTACGTTCCAGCCGAAGGATGTCCAAGTTCACTTTTAAAATATATGCTGTTGGTTAAGACCTTTGTTAGCAAGCTGCATCTGACCAAAAACACCGGGTAACCTGAAACACAAAGATGATGCACATTGATCAACAGGCCGGTGTGGTCCCTGAAAATTCGCATAAAACAAGTGTAATATGCTTGGAACGTGACTCACTGTTGAATAAAACTTCTGAATACACACGACGGTGTACATTGGTCAAGGGCAACACGATGAGTGACCGGTAAATCCTAGAAAATTAGAACCATGTCCTTCCACCTCAGAAATCTTTTCTATCAGATGATCATGAAGTGCTTGCTTTCTCCATCAAAATATCTCAGCTGTAACTTGTCTGGTTAGTATGACTTTTTATACTCGCAATGGTGTCACTTTTCGAGTGCATCACATACTTCAAGTGATCTATTGTCAGTTTTAGTATTTGGATAGCGCTTTTAGCAGCACGTTATCGCGTTTTCATCCAATCAAAACTAAGGAAAAAGAAATACAACGTTGTAACTGGACTGTCAGAACGCAGAACGGAATAGAATAAAGGACTGAAGATATAATCGATGGAGATAGTGTTTATACAGGCTTGAACGATGACCTCTGTTGAAACAGCAAAGACATACTTTCATGGTGATTTTGTCTCCATCAATGCCTTTGAAAGACATTATATTCATGTTGGTTCACAGAGGTTATCGAAATCTTAAAAGTCATCGATGAATTAACCGATTGCCCTTTCGGCTTACTAAAAAGGAACTGCTGTTATCCTGGGGCCATCAAGGTCTATCAACTTTGCTGAAGTTGAAGTGCAATTGTCGGTTTTAGTGAGAAAAAAAAAAAAAAAAACAGCAGAGTGATGTGAAAGACCGGAGGACTGTCTGCAAGTTCTGCCAGTATGAAACTGCCCCAAATGTGAAACAGTGGGAACTGAAAAAACCTTCAAGATTCAAAAGGTTTCTCTTGTGTTTTCCTGACATTGAATGCTGTTGGTTTTACACCGTCTTAGACTGCCTGCGGTTTATCCATTCAGGATTTCATGGTGGGCAGTAATAACGTAACGGGAAAATAAAACTCAAAGAAAAAAAAAAAGGAAGAAGGTAGACGAGTCACGGAATCCTAAAATTTTGCTCGTTGCAATAAGCTTCTTCGGATACAATCTCTTTTCGAAAATATTTTGGGGGACTTAGCTCAAAAATTTACTTGTTGAAAAAACTCCAGATTTCTGTACATTATCAGGCTGATAAGTGCCTAAACTTCAGAAATGTTCGTGGATTTTCTTTGAACAGCAAGCTTCGCAACATGCCTATTGCTATGGCCTGACATCAGATAGCCTAATTCAGTGTAAACCACCAGCAGGTTTTTATGCAGACATAGAGTTCCTTTTCATAATATAGTAATAATAATAGTAATAAAATAATAATAATAATAATAATAATAATAATAATAATAATAATATTAATAATAGTTATCTGAATAATAATAATACTAATAATAACTTTTATTATTTT